GGTGTCTAACAAGGTGAGGGAGACAGCACACCTGCCCTCCAGATGCAGGGAGCTTTCATAAAAGGTAACATCGTATGTAACAAATTTCCCCCCAAATTACAATTCTCAGAGAGGGTAGGTTAGGGAAATAAATTTAGAGAGAAGAGTGGCAGATGGGATAGATGGATTCAATTAAAGCAAAGAACATCAAACAATTCCAGGGATGCCTCATTTGAATGGAACATGTTATTTTCTCCTTGTCGCCTCCAGGTAACTCCCAACTGCAGTCTAGGTAGGAAGTGGGGTACGCACGCAGCGCCTCGACCCCAGCAGGAGTTTAATATCCTCAAATGAGAGAGCTAATATTCCCTCTTCTCTTCTTTTCAATAACGTGGTAAAACAGCACATGAATCAGACTAAGTGAATGCAGGCTACGTATTAGATGCACATTTCCACAGAAGCAGGTGTTATTCAAATTAAATAGGTATTTTCCACTGTCAACTCCACTGAACGGATTTCTTTATTTGGTCTACGGGAGAGTCTCTTTTTTAATTAAACTCAACCACTGTCACTTTTCTAAGAAAGATAATAAGACAATAAAAATATTTACATCCCTTTTATCTTCCTAAACATTAATCATAAGGGGAAGAAGGTGTTATACTGCTGCTAGACAGTTTTATCACATAGACAGTATACTAACATGCTTTAAATTACTGTTTCGCAGGTCAATTTATTCCTATTAAGAATGTATAAGATTCTTGTTGTCACCAACAGTATTTGTAACTATTTACTACCAAAAGGAGTTCAAGTCTGCAATAAATTTGCCATATACATAGTTGACATATAAATATAGATGTGTATATATAATATATATGCACCATGTTGACCCAAGCACTACTCCTGATGGACCTCAACTTTCATCTAAAGTCAAGTGTAAAAGTCTAGTAGTTTGATGAGCAACACTTTCTTCATTCTCTGGCTCCCAGCAGTATAATTTAATTGACAGCAATGTTATCCATATTTACAAAGTCAGAGGTGGGTTATAGTTTCACAAAGTTGGTATTATTATCTCTACAGTCAGTGGAGAAACTGTGGAAGGCTTAGAGTAGAAATTTGCAATTATATTCCATAACTCTAACTGCAACAATGTATACGTGTCCTGATTATCAGCTAAACATGGCAATGTATCCAAAGTCTTATTTTGTAGAGATGCTAAATCACTTCTAGATTCCAGCCCATTCTTTACTATGTTGCAAACTAAAATCCTCTCAGCTAGAAGGGAATAATATTTAGGCTGCCATACCATCCTCAGGGTTTTTTGCAGAAATAACCTCTACTTGAGACTCAGCTGGATGAGTAAACTGATGTTACAATATTGAACCATTGCCTTGTTTCTCTGCAACTGAGGTGCCCTGACTTCTGATAACTCACCTTTGATTTTTTGAGTGGATTAAAGTGGCTCCTGGGAGAGGAGACAAAACTTTCTGGAAGCCCAAGTCACTGACTCCAGCCATCCGGCTTCAGTCCTTTCATACACCTCGAGGAGGGCAGGGCTGGAACGGCCACCAGGGTGGTGGCATCGCTATCAGTAAAGACTTGTTTCTAACAGTTACATCATGACCTTGTCGTTGGAGAATTCTTTCTACAAAGTAGTGACTGAGTTTAAATGGCAAAATCTGAGTACTCAAAAGATAAATTACAAAACTCAGCATGTAGCAGATACTAGTGTAACCCAGTCCCCAAAAGCTGGCAAAAAATTTCCGAGAAGTATCATATACAATTCACAGGAGGCTCAAGAGAAAAACAAGGGAAGATTGCTCAGACTTGTCCTTCGTTAAACTCATTTTTCTAGCAAGTTCTTTGTTGTCCAATCACTTTACACCCAAACCACTCTGTATTAGTTATATATCGTGATGTAACAAGTTATCCCAAAACTTAACAACCTAAAATGACAAACATTAATTGTCTCACAGCGTATGTGGGTCAGGCATACAGGCATGACTTAGCTGGGTGCCTCTGCCTCAAGGTCCCTCGCAGGTGTGGGCCAAGGCTGTGGTCTCATCTCAAAGCCCGACTGGAGGAGGAGAAGCTGCCAAACTCACTCACATGGCTGTTGGCAGGATTCAGCACCTCACAGGCTGTTAGACTGTGGGCTTCAGTTCCTCAGTGACTGTTGGCCAGAGGCCCCCTCAGTTCCTCGCCACCTGTGCCTCTTCATAGGGCAGCTCACAACGTGATGGTGGACTTCCCCTAGAGCAAGCCAGTGAGAACATGAGTGAGCAAGTCAGAAGCCAGTCTTTTTGTAATCTAACCTCAGAAGTAGCATCCCCTCACTGGCCATATTCTATTTGTTAGAAGCAAGTCACTAGGTCCAACCCACACTAAAGGGGTGGGGATCACACAAGCGCAAGAATAGCAGGATGTGGGGATCATTGGGGTCATTTTAGAGGCTGCCAACCACATCTTCCCTTGCATGCACAACAGACAAATAAACACCAAGGTGGAAGGAAAATCAGAAAGCAGTAGGGGAAGGGCAAAATGTTCCAGGATAGAATTACTTATGCCTCCCAGCTCTCTCTCTCCATCCCCCCAAAATCCAGCCATACAACATACCCTCTGAGGAGGCGCTTTCTTCATAGAGTTTCTCACGCCTGTCTCCTCTTCTCACCGGCATGGGACCACCAAAGTTCAGGCCTTCACACTATGATACCACAGCACTACTTTTTTAACCAGCTGCTGTAGTCCAATACATCCTGGACACCAAAGCCAGAGTAATCTTTCTAAGTCACATTTTACTTATCTCTATGCTGTAGAAAGCCCCTTTAGTGGCTCCCCACTATCAAACAAAACCCAAACTCTTTAGGCTGCCATTCGGTGCCTGCCATAATTTGACCCAGGCCTGACTATACAAACTCATCACCCCCAAACCCCCAATAATAACCCATCATCCCAGGTAAACCACACTCACACTTATGTTCAGTTTGAAGCCTCTAACACCATCACTCCCTCTCCCTTGGCAAGACCAGTCTTCCCCTTACCATTATAGATCCTTCCCAATTTCCAAGATGCAAAGCAGATCCCATCTTCTCTGGGACGCACTTTCTGATCACTCTAAACCAGATTTCAGTTCCTCCTATGAACAGGCACAGCTCTGAGAGACACACCATTCACTGGTCAGTAACTGTGTCTGTCTTGTTTTCCCAAGTTGGTGATAAGTTTCACACCTTCCTTCTTCCACAGAGACCACCAGACTGCATCTCCACAAGAGCTGGGCTGGGTCTCATTTGTCTTCCTCTGCTGATACCGGCTGGTCCCTGACAGGCAATATTTGTTGACAAGATGAATGGATGGATGGATGGATAGATGGATGGAGGGATGGATGGATGAATGACGTCAAGCACAGTGTCTAGAATATCATAAGAGGTCAATAAGTAATAAACATTTGTTAACGCCACCAATCTTTAAAATGACAATTCTCCACCCAGTGGCACTTTAGCCACTTAGTGGTTCCTATATAAGAACCCTTCCAAAGAGAGCAAAGGCAAATGAAATTTATCTGGGTCTGACAAAAAACAAGCCCATTCACACAAACATCACCACTGAAGACCAATCCAAGTCGCCCATCCTAACCGCGGCCTTGAGGTACAGGATGCCGGTGCAGAGGCATTAGACCCCACAGCCAGGGGGTAACTCAGTAAGGAGCAACTTCAAATCAGCGCGCTTCAGCCATGGGCCAGAAAAAAAATGGTGTAAGAACTAAAACGGTGCTGGGGCAATAGAGGAAAAATATATCGATTGTGGAGGAGTGTCCTTATGTTTTAGGTAATTCCTAGTAAACAAAAGGATTTTTTTAAAAAACAGATACCAGAATACCTTTTAAGGCCTTCGTTGCCTACCCCGGGAAGGGGGATCTCAATTAGAGAATCAAACGTCCAAAATCCAGAGGAAATCTAACGCTTCCTTCCTAACTGCCTAGAGCAGTTAAGCCTGAAGTGACTTCTCCCAGGAATCTGATTCCCGGCGGTAGGTTGCACGCGCTAATCCGGGCCACCCCCGTCCCACCGTAGGGAGCGCTGGAAACTGCTCCAGGGGATTGGCCCTCGAAGCATCGTCTTCCGAGAGCCGGTGAATTCGCTGTCCCGCTGTCGTGATCCTGGAGCCAAGTCTACGCAGCGGTTTTCTGAGAGCCGGGGGCACGCATCGCGCGGAGAATCCGCGGGCGCCAGGCGCTGAGTTTTGAGCTTTGCCCGTCCCGCAGCCTGAGACGGGAAGGCACTTCCTCTCGCCCGGAACTCACCTGCTTTTTAGCACCACTTCCCTCTACTCGTTGTTCTCAGCTCCCAAAGGCATCTGCAGAATCCTGCACGGTCCAAGGTCCACCGTGAAAGAGAAAGGGTGAAGAGAGTGGTGGCTGGGAGGAGCGGTCACCAGGGTCCCTTCCTTGGCTTGGGGTGGTCGTGGGGCTGGGGCGCAAACCTGCTCGGCTCCTCCCCTCTAAGTCGCGGGGATCCCCCCGGGGGCGCCTCACCGCGGGCGACAGGGACCGGCGAGGGAAGGACACGGTGAGAGGGCTGCATGTGCAAACTTTCCGTCCTCTAGCGGCAACTCTGCGGGAAAGACCACCCTTCCTAGGGCCCCAGGTCGCGCCTCTTCCCGATCCCCCCCGTCCCCTCCCCCGCACGCCCGGCCCCTCCGACCCGGGCTCGGACCGCCGGATGCAGGTGGCGGCGGCGCCGCAGCACCGCCGCGC